GACTTTATGCTAAGAGGTCCAATGTTGTTTTACCCAAGAGGGGATTGAATATTTAAGAACACATTATCTCCAAGTAAGGAGTCAGAGCCAATCCCCAAAAAGTTGAAGCAGCGCTATCCTGGCCTCTTCCTACGTCAATTAAAGACCTAAGACGGTTTTTGGGACTCACGGGTTGTTACCGGAAGTTTGTATGGAACAATGATGTCATCAACAAGCCCTTGACATGTTAAAGAAGGATGCTTTCAGGTGGATGGAAGAATCAAAAGAGGCATCTCAGCTACTGAAGAAGGCAATGACTGAAGTACCAGTGTTGCATTTATCTGATTTCTTCAAGTAATTTATATTGGAAGCTGATGCTTGTGGGATGGGAATAGGAGCAGTACTTATGCGGGAAAATCAACCAATTGCCTACATCAGCAAAGTTTTTTGCAAAAGAAATCAGATGCTGCCAATATATGAGGAGTTACTAGCCATCTTGTACGCGGTAAGCAAATGGAAACATTACCTTGAGGGAGCTTCATTCATCATCAAAACAGATCAGGAAAACATCAAACATATGTTGGACAAAGGTTACTTTTATGCTACAGCAAAGAGGAATTGTCAAACTCTTGGGGTTAAATTATTCCATAAAGTATAAAAAGTGAATAGAGAATAAAGTAGTAGATGCACTATCCAGAAGGGATTGTGAAAATCAGAAAGAAGGAGAAGGGATTAATCTGTATGCAGTGGCTGCAGTCAGTTCACCATCCTGGCTTTCTGAAGTGATGGCAACCTATCAATGAGATCCCTTCATAGGGGAATGACGGCAGAACTAATGGTAAAGACAGATACCCAACCCTGTAAGGTGCGTATACTAAGGTACAAGGAGAGATTGGTAATAGGTGCATTGGAAGAATTAAGGTAAAAATTGATACAAGGGTATCATGACAACTTTAGGAAGCCATTCTAGAATCAGAGGCACTTATAAGCTACTCAGAAAACATTTTCTCTGGCCTGGCATGAAGAAGCTGGTTGAGCGCATGCTGAGGTGTGAGATCTGTTAGAGAAGTAAAACAGAAAAAAGTACCTCTACGCGGGTTACTACGACAGTTACTCCTCCCAAATCAAGCTTGGTCACATATATCCATGCATTTAGTTGAGCAACTAATGAAATCTAGGGATAATGAGACTATCATGGTGGTGCTGGACCATTTTACTAACTATGCCCACTTTATAGCTCTGAAACATCAGTTTACTGCTTCCAAGGTTACCCAACTTTCCTCAACAATGTTCATAAACTATATGGCACTCCTAAGGTGATAGTTTCAGATCGTGATAAGGTATTCACAAGTTTGTTTTGGAGGGAACTCATGAGCCTTTTGGGAACTACCTTGCATTTAAGCTTCATACCATCTACAAACTGATAGGTAGAAAGAGAGACACAATCAATGTTTGGAGTCATCTTTGATGCACAACTCACAAAAATTTGAATGCATGGTCCCGATGGGGTAGCAATTGTTGAATGATGGTATAACATCACCCACCACTCAGCATCAAAATATCTCCATTCCAGGCATTGTATGCGTATCATCCACCACATTTTGTTGACATCATGGAGATCGGGATCCCATCGGCCAAGCTGGAAATTTTTCTAGAAGAGAGACAGTGGATGAGTGTGTTACTCAAGCAGCAGTTGGCAAAAGCCCAGAATAGGATGAATCAGTATGCTGATTTGCACAGGATTAAGAGACAATTTGAGGAAAAGGGCTTGGTGTTTCTCACATTACAGCCATACAGACAACAATCTCTAGAAGGAAGAAGGAATTATAAGTTATCCCCAAGATTCTATGGCCCTTCTGAGGTGGAAGGCAAAACAAGTCTGGTGGCTTCTTGGCTTAAGTTACCAGAACAAGCAAGGACATACTCTGTTTTTCCATGTATCCTTACTAAAAAAAATACATTTCACGGAAGCAGAAGTACCTTGAAAAGATGGCTAACACTGACAGGTAATGGAAGTTTATTGATTGAACTTGAAGTCAATTTGCAAAAGAGAACAATATACTAGAAAGGAAAACAGATGGAAAAATTTCTAGTGAAATGGAAAGGCCTTGAAGACAGTGAGAATACCTGGGAAGATGCTTAGTATTTGAAACAATAATTTCCATATATAAATCTTGAGGACAAGGTTTTTTCTCAAGGAGAAGGAACTGTCACGGCTTGGGCTCACGAGAAAGCTAAGCAGAGTAGAAAGGCCTTTGTTGGTATACAGAAGGTGGGCAGGTGTAAGCTGACGTGGCAAGTAGCGTTAAGAGGGAATAAAAGGGGTCTTGACCCACACTCGATTTGGGTTTTCTTTACACCTCAGTCGGCTAGGGTTTTTCTACCATTGTAACATTTCCATGCTGTTTAGATTTTGTCAGATTTTCTATTGGATTCTTACCAGATTTTCGGCAGGAGTATTTAATGGAAAGGTCTATCTGCTTTTATCATTCTTGCGACTATTCCTTCTTTTTTCTCCGTCATATTTTTCTCATTGATTCTCTCCTTTTCTTATAACATAAACCGTCGCTTGGGTACATGTCAAAGATTCCTGACAGGGATGCACTAAGGGGTGTTAGTAAAAAGTACTAGACCATGCTTACAATATTTTTAACACTGTAGTTGCCTGCATAGCTTAGGCCAGAACGTGGAAACAACAGCTTATTACACTCCATCATGAGAATATCTTACGTTAATTTGCTTTCATCTTTTTTTTCTCAATCAACTCTGGGTCCTCTTGAAATTTCTAGATTCATTTTATTTGGAAACATTGTAGTTAATGTACTAACATACCAAACAAATATGTTAACATAGAAGTGAGAACACTGAGAATTTGATGCGGTTTGCCAATGTGCTCAGGAGAGCACGTCACTAACAGTCTTGCATCTGCTGAGCCACTCACAAAACTTTCGTTACTGAGTTTAGCCTTATAAATTTGGTTGCTTCACATGTAGTGGAGGAAAGCCGAAATTACAAGAATGGTCTCATAATAGAAAATCTCCCTTGGCAAAAAGGTACTGTCCTGTGTCATAATCTTCATGTGACCAATAATCTTTCTAAATATAAACAACTCAAGATAAGTAGTTCCAGCCATATATTACTTGTTTTGTTGAATTATCCTAGCATTGGATAATATATTATTTCTTTATCATTGGATGAACAACTCAAGGTAATACATTAAAAGTGTACAATAATTACGTTGGATGATGAATTATCCTATTGTATTGTTTAAGCTTATAGAAAACTGCTAACTTTATTATTTGTATTTTAACATGCTTCCTCGTGTAAGTCCGATAAACTGAAAGTGTGAACAAAGAATAAGTTCAAAAGCTTAAATGGGCAGGAAAAGATCCAATGTTATTATTCATGTTCTAATACATAGCTTTTAAAGTTTTTATGTCTTTTCCACCAAGAAAAATAACAAAGGTTTCTATTTCTCTTCTTTTTGTTCTTGTCCTTTTCTGTTTCCAACTGTGTTCCAGATTTCAAAATTGTAGGTCTCTGAGCCACTTCGAGCATTAGTTACTGGAGCTCCTTTGGAGGATGCCCGCCACTTGACTCACCGTTATGACAGGCTCCGTCAAGAGGTTGAAGCACAGGTAATGTTGATGTCATTTGGTTATGTAATGATGGAATAAATCTACAAGATGTTAATGACAAATGTTCCTCAGCAGGCAGCTGATATATTGAAGCGCCGATCAAAGACTAGGGAATTTGATATATCTCAAGAAAGCTACATGAAGCTTAAAAATGCTGAAGCGAGATTGACAGAATTTAAATCTGCAATGATGACACTTGGAAGAGAAGCCACAGCTGCCATGTTGTCAGTTGAGGATCAGCAGCAAAAGATAACATTTCAACGACTGCTTGCTATGGTGTTGCTAGCATTCTTTTCTATTAGATCTTGTGCATTTCTTGTGTGCTCATGGATGCTTGTTGCTATATTGTTATCGTGCATTTGAGTTCTTTTAACATGAATGTAATTGTTTGGATGTTTGAGAGGATAAAGTTTTTGATTGCTCCCATTTTGCGAAAACTTTTTGAGAAGAAGAAACTCATTATATTCAAATGACACCAAGGTGGTGCGACCTGTATATAGATATATTTAAAATTTGAAAAAAATGTTGATAAGATTCCCAATATCCTTGCTATAATACATAGGTTGATCTCTAATAAAAAAGGTTAGGATATGGAACTACAGATCTTTAAAATTTTCAAACTTAAAATTCTTTACTCTCGAAATTCCTCTTGTTCCTTTCTTTTCAAATAGCCCAAAAAGTATGAAGAAAGTAAGCTTGAGAAAACTATTCTCACTTTAAATACCCTTCACGCCCATATCTCCTATCTCACTATTCTGGCACTAACTCAACTCAACCCCAATAAGCTATATGCCAAAGACCAAAGTGTTGCCAAACGGACACCAATGAAGGATGTAATTCCACATCGCTTCACCTCTTTTGGACAAGTGACACCCATTAAACAGGATCTTTCCCTTCTGATCAGCTTATTCAAAGTTAGGATGTTCTCCCATACTGCTTCCCGTGTGAAGAAAACCACTCTAGGAGTTGCCTCATTCTCCAAATCACTTCCGATGGGAACTTATTACTTGCACTCCCTCTTTTAGTCAGATGCCTGTAGTATGACTTGACTGAGAAAAAATCCAATTCAAACTCGTTTCTTGGTTGCACAAGAGACACCACAGGAGAAAGCAGTTTGAGAAAATTCATGTATTTGTCACTCTCTTAGTCGTTCAAGTTTCTAATTAGGTCAGCAGTCCAAGTGCCGGGGCAGCCTTTTTTACAGATATCTCTTTGTGCTGGGCAATGTCAAAAGTATGAGAAACTATGAGTATAAAACCCCTCCTACTCTCTACTTTTCTTTCCAAAAATTCGGCCTTTGCCCCAACCCAAGTTTTCTATGCATTTTTGTATTCATCTTTGCCTCGATTCATACCCTTCCACACCCTAGAGCCATATGGATCCCTCAGATCTAAGACATACCAGTGTTATGGATATTCATGCTTTGCTACCATCATCTTCCTCCTAAAACTCTCCTGTTCCAGATGAACCTCCACAACCACTTCCCTTGAAGAGCTGAGTTAAACTCAACGAAGGATCTCGATCTCAGCCCAGCCCAGCCCACTAAAAAGGTTGTTTCACTATATTCTACACTACCAGGTGAAAAACAATGATTTATTGAGGAAAGTTGCTAGATTTAAAAGAATCCATATCAGGAAGTAACTCCTAGCATTTCATTAATACTTTTGGAACTGATTTTGTATTGATTGCAGAACCATGAAAAACATAGATTTATTTAACAATTCTAACTGACTTGTCCACTTGTCCTTATTAGTGAGAGACTCCGTACATAAGGATCTCAAATTGTAATAACTATTTTATGTTCTATCACTGGAATTAGTAACTTGCTTATATTCCACTGTAACACAATGGTGGTGTCTACTGACTAGTAATATTTGTTCGATTTTAAGTTATTTTTATTTTATGTTTGGTTTGGAAATAAGTGTCCTTATCTTTGCCTCATTAGTCTTATTGTATTATCTAGTAACTGGATCTCAAGTGGAATCATTTTGCAGGTTGATGCTGAGAGAACTTATCATCAAAATGTTCTTCTGATCCTTGAGAGACTGTATTCTGAGGTCTGTAACATGCATTCTTCACTCTTCACATACACACAAACCATGGATTTGTTAATGTGGATGGACATGAGTCATGTCTCTGTTCATGTATGCAACTGTGGAAGCGTATTTATTTTATCTACATGCTCGCATCTTGAAATGCACTGTTAGGTTTCCTTTCTATCTTATTGTATCTTTTGCATAAAGAATAGATTATTATCTGCTTATTTTCTTCAAAATTATCGTCTTCAGATGATTATGGAGGAGCAATCAAAGGAGTCTTCTTTACAGTCAGTGGCTATAAGAAGAAATGTATATGTTCCCCATGTGCAGGAAAATATTAAGGCAAATGGATCCAGTGACAGCAGACACATCAATCAAAGTGATTCACACTTTATTGCAAAAGTAAGCTCTCTGCTATTTGAGAATTTTAATACTCCTTTAGGGTTTTTTGCCCCAAAGGAAAAATAAAAGATGCGTCTTTCAAGCTCCTTCCATGCACATTAGCTATTTGCTTGATATTTGGGAATTGTTGCATTCTATTATTACTTCAGAATTATTGGATTTTTCAACCTTGAAATATGTGCATGCTTTGCACTGTAATTTGCATTGAATTTTATTTTTTGGGTTCCAGCTTTTATCTTTTATAGAGCTGGTACAATTTATATACATTTACTCGTTGAGGTTAGTTATAACATGTAGAAGCCCCTCGCTTCAAAATTGAACATAAAACATCTATTTACAATTTTTTCAAAACCCTTTCACCATTAATGTTTGAAAATGGGGCTCCTCTAAAGGTAACTGTCTCTGTGTGGGGGCTACTTTTTTGAAGATTTTGACTACAACTAACTCGATAACTGAAAAGTCTTTTTGGGTGAATCATTTTTATTTTTTTAAAAATTGTTTATTTAAGGAAAGTGCTGTCTCTTTTGGACCTTCTGCTCTTATTGTGCTCGTTAGTTCCATCGTTTTGGATTTTACACGTAAATGTGTTTGGTTCTCTTGGCTGATTTGATGGTACAGTTGGAATAGGAGTATGGGCTTGGTCAGATTGTCTGAGTTCCCCAAGAGATTAAGACCTTCCTCAACCACCCCTGGTCGGGGAGCAACCGGGGCCGTCTGAAATAGCCGACCAGTCAGCAGATATCTTTACCAAGACACTTTTAAAACCTCAGATGCTGATCTCATGTTCCAAGCTGAGGATGCTTGATATATATGCTCCAGCTTTTAGGGGAGGTTTTTAGCTTTCCAACCACTCAAGCGAGACTGAACTTTCTCTAGAACTTCAGAATAGGTCTGTTTAGTGACCCTACCATGGATGATAGGGACCCCAAGAGACTTCCGCAATTCACAGATGAGTTCCCCCCTTTCCGGAAATCCATCAGCAACTACAGGCGCTTGCTGTCCTCCTACTACTGGCGGGGCCCTATGGCACTTGGACAACCTGCCTTGCATCAAGATTAATAGCTTCAATGAACGGCAAATTTTAAATGAGACTAACCAAGTATCGAAATGATACTTGTCACCGAGAATAGATTCCAAACGAGCTTAACCAACTATAGGTACCATGTACCATTAACAATATGTAAACTTTCCATGAAAAACAACTGCAAACATCGGCAATGATTGTCACTACAATAAAAAAATGTAAAAAAAAAAAACTATTTTTCTTAAGGCAACAAGTTTTACTTCAGAGTAGCCTTTGATGGTTTGCAAAATTTATGGGATAATAATCCTTACTTCCCTCGAGTAGGGCACCAAGGTTCCAACAATCTAGGTTCACGATTTTTTTTCTCACTCTTCTTGAGTAAGCTCTACTGTTAATGACAATAAATTTTGGGGGAAGTAATCACTCAAAACAGGTGATTTAAATACACCTTATAAAATCCTCTTTTTTTGTTCTTTTTCTCTCTTCGACAACTGGCACGAAATGAACTACTTACGTTCACTGAGCATGGGCACTGCATATAAATGGAACAAATAACTTTATGATACTAGAATGCTACAACAGACCCTATTGCTTCAGAAAAAAAGAATTAAAATATTCTTAATCAAACTTGCCATAGAACAAGGAAGAAAATCAACTATTTGTACTATAGCTCCAATCTTTCGATACAACAACTCACTTAAAGGAAGTAATTTAAAATCAACGTAACTTCTAGACGGGATTACATAATCTTTTTTGAACAAAGGATAAAGAATGAACATCTTAGGTCAATCAGAAAACATGTTAGAATTGTCAGCATTGGTGGCATGTTAGACATTAGCAATGGTCAGGCTCGTGATAAAGAATTCATCCAGCATTGACAATTCTGAATACTGGGTGGATGCATTGTGAACAAGCTCCTACAAACGTAAACTAGATTTTGTCTATCCTAGGGTGCTGGTACTTTTGATGTTTCTGTTGGAATATAGAGTATATCTTCCTATGTAGTTATTGTATTAGGTATATTTTCTCCTATCTGTTAAATTCCCCATTTGTTTTTCTTGCCTTAAAATCTTTATAAACGCGTATATCTGTTTTCTTTCTATAACATAATATAGTTGCAATATTTTCTTCGATATGAGATTGAAGCAAGATTAGAAAAATTGTCTAAAATAAATGAATAAAATATTTGTGCAAAACCCTATGAGAGAGAAAGAGTAGTTTCCCTATATAGGAGATCAGTTATGGTGTATCGATCCCAGATTCTAAATTTCCGGACTGTGCAACCTCTCTGCTGGTGATTTCATCAATAGCTGATACCTGAAGGTGTTGCTGGTCACCATTGTGAGGCCTGCGTACCTCACATTCGTCAATGAAAATCAAATTCAATATCTTACGAATCTACCCAGGAGTTCTTTTTAGAAACTAAGCTTGAGGTTTTTTGTTTCATCAGATAGGTCAAATGTGCTTGGGAAATCATTGTTCTGTGAGTTGCTTGTTCTTCTGTGTTAGCGAGCATGGACTCAAATAGGATTTTCGAGACAAAGTAGGCTCCATCTATGTCGTCAAGTTTTGTGATTCCCCAAAATACTACCTGGCATTCAAATAGAAGTAATTATATGCAATGAGCTAAGTTAATGTATACCTCACAATGGAAAGTAAACATTGGCATCTTATAGGTTACGCTTTTTATGAAAATAAGTTGAAATTGGATATTTTGCAAGAAGATGCACAAATTGTAAGTTTGCTGTGGTATCATTGGACCTCAAATTGTTGATTTATATTACACAGCTTGATTTGGGTAAGGAGATATGGGACCATGTCAAGCTTGTTTATGGTAGCAATATGACTCATGTATCATTTTTTCGTGAAATTAATATGATTACGCAAGGTTCTCTGTATTCCTGATTATATTTAATTTTTTATTAAAATTTTTTTTTGACTATGCAAGGTAAGAAATGATTGAGTATTTTGCTGGGCAATTACAAGTGTATGAAGAGTTGAATGTGGTTCAACCTATAACTTCTAATGTGAAGACAATATAAAAGCAATAAGTGCAATTAATGACTATGCATTTTTCACAATTTTTTTTTGATAGAAATAGAAATATTAGTAAGAATGATAATGGAGCATTTTTGTAGGATTAAAGCCAGAATTTGAACCTTTGCACTACCAAAGCTTTGGGTGTGTTTGACTTCCTTCTTCTGCAAGTTCTGTGATGGGGGTTGTTTTCTTCCTATAAGCATACTTCTACACGAGATATTAATGACAACTTTTCCTTGGTCATTCAAGAGACGGGTTGGAGTTGAGGGGAAGCCTTGGTGAATGTGGTCGTTTATTTAAGAGTATTCATGGTAGTTGCCATGGTGGTTGTTATGAAGGTGGTCCTAGTTTTCATGGATACTAGGAAATGTCCCGTTTTGGCTAAGATTATCGTCCTTTTGATCATTGTTGGGAATTGGTTGGTAGACTATCCCAAACAACTAATTTATTACAAATACAACCGAACTATTGGGCTTGACTTTTGCTATTAATAAACAACAAAAGGAAGTTGAGGAGAAAGAGAGCCAGACCAGGGAGAAGAGAGAAAGATCAGAGGAAAGGAGAAGGCAGCCGGATCCTTTCTTCACCACGCGCAGAGCTGCGTAAAGGGCGAGCCGGTTTCTTCCTCCACTGCGCGTAGAGCTGCCCGACCCAGTTCCTTCTTCCACCGCGCGCAGAGACGCTCAGATGCTCTCAATTTTCTTCTTCTTCAGCCGCACGCAGAGACGCGTGACCCAGTTCCCTCTTCAGCCGTGTGCAGATCTATTCAGGGCACCGAGATTTAGCCGCACGTAGAGTCGCGAGACAACCTCTGGTTTCTTCTTCCTACGCACCTAGAGATGTGCGTTTGCCTCACTCTGATCGTATGAAGCCTTTGGCCGTGACTTACCGGCCTTCTACTGGGCACGAGTTTTCCCTTTTGCCGCATGCAGAGCCGTGCACGGGGAGTTTTTCTGGCCAATTGCATTGAGCTGATCTGAGCCGTTGAACCGAGCTGCTTTCGGCTCGGGCCGAGCTGCCTGCACCAACCCACGCCGAGTTTCAGCTGAGTTCGAGCCTTTTTTTAGTTGAGTTTGAGCAATTATTTTTAGCTGAGTTCGAGCCCTTTTTTGAGCCAAGTTCGAGCTCTTTTTTGAGCCGATTTTTGAGCTGGTTTTGAGCTGATTTTGAGCCATTTTTGAGCTGAATCCGAGTCGTTTCAAACCCAAACCATTTTTGGGCCGAGCCGAGCCGAGCCATACTACTGCTTAACATATTTGATTCTAGTTTCCAACTTGATCTACAAGTTAGGCATGAAAGATATTCCTACACCAAACTTGAGGGGGGGATGATGAATAAGATATTTTCTTATTTTATTATTTAAATTACATTATTATTTAATTAGATAATTTAATATAATTAGAAAAATTATAATGAAATAAGAATTTACTTATTAGTAGGTTAGGAATTGTATAAATATCTGAAGTGTAACAATGTAAACGGTGAGAAATAAAATTTTATTTTTTCTCCAAAATCAATAGTTTTGAGGATGAACACTTCAAATTCCTTCATTATCAGACATCATAACATGGTTTCACTTCTATTGTCTTACTCAATTAGGTAATTGTATATCTTGTTTTTCTTTTATTCATACATCATAGGTGATAGATTTATTTGTTTTAACTATATATTGGGTAAGCTTAGTTCTTTTATTCATATTAAATAAATTCCATTATCTCTAGGTACTAAAAAGTGTATTTGTAGGCTACTCATCCGTTCAAAAAGGGTACAAACGTTACCATCCGCCCACCCAAAAATTTGATATCTGCGACCATCACGTTTGTTGAATAAGAATTCTACTCTACCCAGTCTTATGTTTTGGAAGAGTTTATATTGGAAGATAAGCATATAAAATTCATAATGGATTTTAACCGATTACCATTGTCACACACCTTAA